CCTCTTGTGGAGACATAATCCAGTGATTGTAAAATAAAATAAATGAACTGACATGTAGATATTATTCCTCCTCTGGTTTTGCATGTAGTATTAATAGTAAGGGCTGGAGACATCTAAATCACAGAAGACATGAGTCCACTAAACAAAGACTTTTGCATGTTTAAAAGTGTATTTCTAGAAATTCTGGATTTGCTTCTTTCCTTCCACCACTGCTTTTTTTTTTTTTTTTTTGGAGAGGAGGTTGTTTGAAGCTTTTATTTCTTAGATAAACAAACTGTCACATGAGTTCAGAGGAACATCAAAAGTCATGTCTGTGACGCATTCCAAGGGACTCAGCACAGCTGGAAGCACTACAGCATCCCTGAAACCATCCCTGCACCCAAAGCACTGAGGTCAACATTTCCAAAGCTAACATCCTCATTTCAGGTCTCCCACATGACTGCAATTCCTCCTGTCTGCAGCTGGTCTTACTAAGGTAAGCAACCTAATCTCACACTCAATGTCACTCCATGTGTCTCACTACACTGTCACTCCCTCCCACCATGGGACAGCAGGCACCTCTGGCTGGCAGGCATTGCTGCGGTTTTCCAGTACTAAAATCCAGATAATCCAAGGTGCTTAAAGTAAAGACACTGCTTGTAAACTTCAACTACACTTTACACCTACTCTGCTGTGTGCTTGTAAAAATAGCATTACCTCAGGAAGGCTTCACTGCATGAGCACCAGGGCATTTCGATTTTTTACAATGTCAGTGAAACAGTGGGGAACTATGATCAATGCTTGACAGCCTGGGTAATTCAAATGCAAATGTATAAATTCTGTCAGTCATGGGAGAAAGTCAATTAAATAAAGACATCTCCCATGACATGGGCAATTAAGTGGTCTGCTTTTCCTCTTACTGTGCAAAGATTTTCCTTAATTTCCTGTCCCTGGCTGAGCCAGCCTTAGCTTTCCTGCCTGGGCTAGAAGCCCAGGTGTCACAGCTCTCACAAGTGCCCCTGTACCCCTTATCCTTGTACTGAGGAGGAGGGCAAGCCGATGGGAGAACTCCAATTTCCTTTTTTCTGGGATGAGCTGAGCAGTAGCTGAAGAAACCCACTGCTTCAACAGTGCAGAGCAGCAGGGCAGACAAATGTCCTTTCCCTGCCAACGTAATTTACGGTCTTTCTAAAACACACAAACAGCATGCACACACGTGGAACACTTGTTTCTTTGCTCTTGTATACTCAGCCCTGGCGCCTTATCACTCATGGAAGGTGGCTGTAAGCACACCACATGCCTTAACCTTCTCCTGGCTGCTCTGCAAATATGACACGCTCCCAGGAAAACAGGTATCACCTGTCAGCTCCCATTGCCCCTGCAAAAGCAGACAGACAGGTGCAAGCACTGTGCAGCCAGTAGAGTGGTACCACGGGAAATACATTTCTAATATTGTTAACTCTTTTTTGCCCTTTCTTGCATACTGTCTGAAATAATTTACCTTTAATTTCTGATTGTACACAGAGCCAACCTAAGCACCCTTTGGCTAGGCCCTTCCTGCTCAAACCTGTGCAGGTGTGCTCTTCTGTGTCCATTTGTACACAGTGCACTTGCAGGCTGGGAGGCTCCCACTGCAGAAAAGCTGAGATAAGCAGTTTGTCCCTGTATTTCTCCTCAAGAACTCTGCAAGTGAACAGTCAATCCTCTAGAGAACCCCTCGGTCTCGGCGGGTCAAACCACTGAGCAGCTTTTGGTGCTCTGTGCTGGAGGCTGGCACTTAGCAGAGTGCAGTCACTGGTAGATGATAGCTTCCTAACACAGGGGAAAGTGGAAATGGAAAGAATAAAAGTACACCTCAGGAAGGTACACCCTTGCATCCATGATATGGGATGCGCAAAAACCTATTAAAACTGGGCCCCTCGTTTCCAGAAGGTGATCCAAAGCAGCTGAGACGATTTGTACCGTTGTTGTAAACATGCAGCATAAAAGTGTCTCACCACTCTCTCATACACTCTATCTGCCCATCGCACCTACACCCTGCCTTTCATCTTATGTTTCAATGGCCACGTCTCTGGAAATGACCCTCTTGTATCACACTCCAATGCTTTTCTTTACGCAGCAGATTTCTGACCCCTGCTATGCCAGGTCTCTCTAGGCATCACAACGATACCTTCAGTGATGCCAGCAGTTGTTCCCACTTACTTTTGTCAGTAGAAGGACACTGGAACCAAGAGGGTTTTATTATAATTTTTTGCAGAAGATGAATTATGGACAAAAGTTCTGTAGTACACTGACAAGTCCCACTTTCTTTGGATACAGTGCCATGTGATGCTATTCACAGTGGATGGTTTAGAAGATTTTTTCCTTTCCCATGGTCTGTGGCTTTGATTCATGAGAACAGTGACGTTTACATGCCTCATATGAGTATCTCAGGTAGGGTTCACATCCCTGAGCATTAGCCAGCTCAAATACAGGCATGTAATCTGTGCTAAATAACAAGGCTTCCTCTATATCCAAGGAGGGAGATAGGTATCTTGATGTGGTGATTTATCCTGTCTGTTTTGGAGGCATCTCTTTCCATGGACTAGGACACCTTGCTGACTATCTTGGAATGGCTTCTCACCTCAGACAGCAAAAGCCAAGTGAGATGAGCTGTGCCCGAGTAGCGTTACCTGCTGGACTACTGAGACCTCATGTTACCCAGTCTCACCACCACATCCCTTTTTTCTGCAGGTGTTTCCCTTTGTGCAATGTCACGTCTGTCCTCAGAAGTGGTTGTCTATGAAACCATCTCACATGTCAGGCTCTGCATCTCCCTGCGGAGATGGGGCTACAGCAGAGTGTTGGGCTGACAGACCCTCCACAGTCCCAGACAGGCATCACCATGGCGGTCACATTCAACTGACATCTTGGAAGTTTTCCCTTTACATTTTACAGTTATTTTCCAAGTGGTTCTGACATGATTAATACTGGAGTCTGCAGTTCACAGTGACAATTTTAAGAAAATAGACTAATGGGCTGTGAGCTGACAAAATACAGACTGCATTATTTTCTAACAAAATTATCCCAGCACTGCTGTTAACTTACCAAAACAGAAACTTCAGCAAATCTAACAGATAAGGGACAATTGTGTTTCAATGCACAGTGGTTCAGATTCATAGATCTAACAAAGTTAAAAGTTTCATTATTATCTCCTTCTGCAATGGATCACAGATGCATTAGAAGAGGGTAAAACGATCCCTTGGAAATGGGAACATTGAAAAGTGTGGTAATATTTGATAACCAGTAAAGCATGATGGTTAACAGGTTTCAGATAAAGCTGAAGTTCAGAACTTAAAGTCACCAAAGCCCAAGCTTGGCACAGCTGCTGTTTTCTGTTCTGTTCTTTCACTTCAGGCAAAAAGTGCTATTGATGTGTTACTCAGTAAAAGCATTTGCAATGTTTATTTTATGTGGCACGTGATCAGATAGCAACAATCTCTCTATAACATAATCTTCTTTACAATGCATTTTTCCTTTTCTTACACCCCTTAAAAATGGAAAGATAAATTTCCTGGAGAAATACTTCTTGTTTTCCTAATAATTTCTTCAGAGTAGTCAGGTGGGATCCAACCACCACATCAAAGTCAGGAAAAAGTGTAGGTGGTCCTTTACTAGGGAGTTTGTGCAGTTATCCTATTTTCTCAACACTTTTAGAGTACATTGATTTAAGACTGTTATCTACATATAGGTCTGTTTGCCATCTGCTATTGGGACAAGCAGTGCTATTTTTATACATATCCCAACATGGAGCTGACAAACATTGACTGTTCTGTCTCTGAAACTCTAAGGAGTCATCTGCTTTCTTTGAGACTGCATACAGTATATTGAAATATGTGCATAAACCACAGTGAAATCTGAAAAAAGTAGTCTTATGTTTTCAAGCAGGTTAGAAAGAGAGACACAGAGTAGCATGCAAGGGACTACTCAAAGTAAACCTAGTTTCACTTACTTGTGAACAAGGATACAGTTCCCAGGTCTTTTTTGAGCAAAACAAAACTGAAATAATTTTTCACTCAGTTATTTGGTGTCACTTCAGCATGGTGACAATGTGCTCCTTAATCTCTTTCTGAAGTATCCAAATTAGAAGCAAAATATCCTGTCTTTTCTGATGTACTTTAGAGTTTCCATAAAAGCCAATGTCTGATACTTACAACCTCTCCAGAAAGGTAGGCTCCATTCTTCCAAATAACCTTCAAATGGAAATGTCTTTTGAATTTAAATCTGAATGCTCTGAGATAGTTTTCAAAGCCTCACAGAAATTGAAAATAGGGCTGGCTTATTAGAAACATATAATTTGTTAAAATCAAAGTGTTTTTAACATATTCAAAAATAGCATATTTACTGCACATTATTTTTTATCAAACATTATTGGAAGATGAAGTTTCTGAAACAACAGCACAGATCAGTTTTGATTGGAAAAGGGGCAAACAGTTTAATGAAGGGAAATACACCGGCTATCACAAACTGAGATTCTGGCTTCAGGCATCCTCATTTGAATATTTGAAAAATATTTTATGAAATATTGCCTCACCTATAATTGGCCTTAAGGAAGCAAACCACTAGAAAGAATTGATTTTCACTGCACTTTAAATTGCTGCTCCAATGCCTTCACATTTGATGAAATATGGATCAATTATCTTTTTGGCAAATATGAACATGCTACCTTTTAGCAGAGCTTCATTAACGGCACTTTCTCTCTCTGGTCTTTAGCTTGATCTGCTCGTTTCTATTTGAATTAATGTAGACTATTAGCTAAATTGCACAAACATTTATTTTAGCCTAGAAAAAGTATCCTGTGTTCAGTCCACATCCTCTTCAAGTTCTGTGCTAATAAACACCAGAAATTACCTGGGGTGGTTCTTTTTCCCTCATTACATGAAAAATAGACTTGTCACCTGAAAATACACATTTGTAGTTGTGCATTTTACGGAGTTATAATTATGCAGGCTTCTTTTCAAGGTGACAGCAGCCAAGCTTACCTGTCAGCTGAGAGAGCAGTGAGAGTAAAGACTGACACCCCTACAGAGGTGAGCTGTATGAAGGGGATAAGTTTGCATCCAGTTCTGCCAAACAGCCACTCATCAGCAAGGAACCTGCTGGCATCCACGGGCACACAAGTCACTAGAAGCAGCAGGTCTCCCAGAGCCAAACTGGAGATGAACAAATTAGGGACATTTCTCATTGATTTAACAGTACAGAAGATCTTAATCAAAGTGATATTGCCAACAAGGCCTATCAAAATGATTATCCCATAGATTGTGGGGATGGCGTAGAGGAACGCTGGGTAGAACCAGTCGTCGCCGAGGAGGGAGAAATTTGCACTCTGGTTGACAGAGAAGTTGTAGAGAATGAAGTTATCTGTCTCTAGGTCTAGCAGAAGGCACTCTCCAGATGCCATTGTCCTACTTTGCTCTTCTCGGAAGACAGCTTTCCTCTTTGCAAGTCCTCACATAAATTTCTTGCTTTAATTTTGCTGCTGCTTGCTGGCTTTAAGCAGTCAGAAGAGCTTAAAAGTCATATCACTTTGTGAGACATCTTGATGATAATCAAACTGAAAAGCACCTGCAGCTTGCTCCACAATCCTGTTTCCATAAGGCAAAAGGAGAACATCTTTTAGCATAGTTTGAATCCTGAAATTTGCTTTTCCCTCCAAGACTTGTCTTGCTGTTGTGTATTCCTCAGCTCTGGAAGGCCAATTATCAAATTCACAGACCAGCAAGTGGCAGGCATTTTCAAAAACGGGGCTTGCTAAACTCCCAGCTTCAGGTCTGCCGAGCAGCTCCGAGTCCAAAACAGGGGAGTTACAGAAAGCACGAACTTTCGGGAGTTGCTGCGACGCTGCATTGCCAACCTCTCCCGCTTTCAGCGCCTGCCCCCGCCAGCTGGATTTAAAGTGAGGGGAAAAGCGGGTCTCGGCTGGCGGCTCGCATCCTATAGGCAGGATCTTCTGGACGTCAATCCTTGCGCTGCTTCCCTCCCACGGTGCGCGCGGGCTGCTCCCGGCGCGGCGGGAGCGCCGGGAAGCGCCGGGAAGCGCCGGCCGCCTGCTGGATGCTCCGGGCACTGCTGCGCGGGGTGGGGGGGCAGCACCCCCCTTAACTCTTTAGGCGAAAAAATACACGTCTGTTAACTTACAGCTCCAGAACAAACCCCCAAACAAAAAACCAATCAAACATAAAAATAAAATACCCCCCACTTCCCCCAATTAATGTCACTGCAAATAGATCACAATAGCCATCCCACCTTCTCAAGTAAGAGCACATATTTTCCTCACACTCGGGTATTCACTTGTTCCAATGAAAGAGAACGATAATATGAAGCCAAATTCACCTTCCCTCTACCCCCAAGCAAATGAAATTAATAAAGCCAATTAAGATAAAATAAACGTTGTTAAGGGAGGCAAATGAATATTAGCAATGTGTGCCTGAAGTTAACCAGGGAAGCCTGAACTCTTCACATTTTTTGTTAATTTTTATAATTTGCAGGTAACAACACCAAGGCATGAAGTTTGCCATTCAACATGATCATTTCTATATATGAAGTACCCACCATACTGGCATCTATAGGTAATACATGTTTAGACAACAGAGAGAAAGTTGCTTGGCTTATAACAGCTTGAAATAGCTCCTTCTTAGAACTTAATTAAGATATAGCTATTACTGATGTCTTACTGCTTTATAACAGGCTATTTATGAATATATACGAGGACTTTCTGGACGGCAGAGAAATATAGTTAATTTGGAAACCAGCCTGCAGAATTAAATGAAGCTGTAATTTACATTTCCCCTTGCGACTGCTCATTTTTGCAGGCAAAAGAATGTTTTAGCAACTGCTAGAGTTACTTTGAAGTCAAGGGGAAGGTGATTCAAACCAGTGTGATCGCTGGTTTCTGCATAAGAGAAGCATTTCAGGACGCAATCTGGAAACTGTCCTGGGGTTTGGGAGCCATGTCCCAGGGTGGGATTCAGAGCAGGATACTTCAATAGCTGTTTTTCTGCCTCATTCTTGTGACCTGGGTCAGTATTTTCAGCTGCTTTGCTGCTGTTCACTCTAAGTCAACAAGGGACTTATGTGTACCCTTAACTTTAAGTAGGGCTACTTATGTTTTTTTCCAAGCCAAACACCCATGACAGTGCTGTGCTGGGAGCTTGAGGGTACAGAGGAGAAGTTAAATTTTCTGGTATGCCTTTCAGACAGAAGCATGCTTTTAAAAATAGGCTGGAGTTTGCCACTGTTAAAAGCAGGGGACGTGGAGCTACTGTGCACAGTCTGATCAGGGCGCACAGGCAGTTCTGCGGGTCAGGGCCAGCTCTGTGCAAGGCTGCCAGGTTGGGTGGATGCCATTTGGAGGCAATGCCATGTTTAACACAGCAGAATGTACCAAAGGCACAGAGAGGAACTGTGGAGCTACTGAAGCAGCCCAGCCACACAGTGTGGTGGGACACCTCTCCTAGAACTTCCCCCAACATATTTGGGAGTCTGGTGATAGGGGCTGCATGACAAAGACATACATGCTTCCCCCCCTCCCTCTCTCTTCCCTCTTTGCTTTCTGAGCTTTGAGAGGAAGTGGAAAGGACACCTCTGGAGTTGGTAGCAGCCACTTGGTGTAATCCTGATGGACCCCTGTGCCCAGCAGCCTGGTCAGCAGTTGACAGTGACCTGCCCTGAGTAGGCGATGGGACCAGAGGCTTCTTGTGTCCCTTCCCATTCAAATGACTTGTTGACTCCAGGATTTGTAAACCCATCACTCAGAAATGTAATATCTCTAGCTCTCATCACGAGCTTTTATTCTTCCAGATGGACATTGAAGCGATCAGTTTGCCAAAAATCTTCTAATAGAATCACTCAGTCACCACTCTTCACCATTTAAACTCTCCTACACTGAAATCTCTCTTACCTTTACATGGCAAACTATGTGGGGTGAGCAAAGGAAGAAAAGAGAAGTGATGCTGGAAATCTTTCTTATCTTTCAGCAGACGGTGGTGTTGATCACTGTTCCTTCAAAGGTGTAGGCACATTCCCATGTCCCAGGTGTCCATCAGTGAAGGAAGAGGCTTTCATGATCTATGAGAGGATGCATTTCACCTTCAACTTTGCAAGGCTGATAGATTATTTCAGGAAGCACTTCAAGTCTACAGTTGCAGCTTTCTAATTTTTTGTTTTGACAAACCCAGGCTTCAGGTTTAGGATAAACTCTTTTGAGCACAGAGAATGACAAACTGAAAAGACAAAGGCAGAAGAGGGAAAAAAACCCAGAACCTAAACCAAACAAAAACAGATCCTGTAATGCTTGAAACTTTGTTTAGATTATAAAAATCATTCATTATTTATGTCAGATGTAAATAGACTGTTTCAGGGAAGATGACTGATAACAAAATGAAGGACACAGGTTTTATTCACCATTGCCCAGTCTGCAGATGTTCCCCAGAAGTAACTTAAAAATGCTGAGGATGTTTCCCAGACATGTTTTTGTCTTGTCATAAATTGCATTTGAGAGGTTTTGTTTATTATAAATGGTGTACCTTTTTTGTCATGTCACTCTAGCATTTATCTTCCCTTAGCAGGCAAAATGTCTGGGTATTTGTATTCTCATAGCCACCTCTGCTGTAGTGTTCATTTCAAGATCCCAATCCTCTCTCCAAAGGAAGGTGAGCATCAATATCCATATTTCATCATTGCAGTAACCTGCATGTATGCAAAAAAAGAGAGGTAATTGTAGCACAAAATTACTTAACTGGCTGTTGGCAGAGTTGTGAATAGAATAATGCAGGTCTTACAAGTCTGGTCCTGCATTATAATGGTTTTCTGTTGGACAACGAGAGATTCCACAGATACTTTCAATAGATGCTTTTTTCTTTTCATCTCCCAACCTTTATCCAACCTCCAAATGACAACTGCAAAGAGACAACCTTCTTAATCCTTAATTGTGCACAATGGGGGAGATTTGTAAAAGCTCAATGGGTAAAATTTTCAAAAGCAGCTAAATCTATACGAAACATAATGGAATTGAGGCTCCTACATTGCTTATGAGCTCTCCACCCAGAAACGGAGACAGAGTTTCAAACAAACGCAGTTTGCATTGAGAAAAGTACATGAGAACCTGCTTTTCAAAGGCCTTGCAGAGCTGCAGCTGCCACAGTCACAGCTACAGGAGGATTTTAAAGAGCATGAACAGCCAGTGTGATGAGGTCTTTTGAAAGACACTGATAATTTTTTCTACATATCTAAATGGACCACTTTGGAAAATCTAATGAAGCAGGGTGTGAGGTTCTGTGGGAGAAGCTCTCGTGATGAGAGCCAGAGGACGCTGCTGCATCCACCTGCAGATCCTGAGTCTGGCCAAGGCTGGCACGGCTATTGTCTTGGAGGGCAGGAGCACACCTGCTGCACCAGGGCAGTCAGCCCATGCAGCATCCTCTACACCAGGCACCTCCAGCACCCAGGGGATATGGGGTGATGGAAATCATCTTCCAGAGAGCATGGCTTTTCACCAAGGGTGTCACGTTTGTTATCTTGCCACAGTAGGACTTTCCTTTGTAGCAGCCTCTTGCAGACCTCCTTAGAGGAGATGGATAAACTTGCATTCGCTGTCCAGTGTCAGGAGAGGTGCCTGTGTGCTCAGCGTTCCGCTGTTTCCTGATAACTGCATTACCAGGGCTAGGAGCCAGTGAACCAGGGATTACTCCCTGCTGAGCTTGTGGAGTGCAACATCTGCTGATTTACCGAATATTCTTCTTCTGTAAACTGTTCATCTCTCAGAGGGAACAAAGCGGTGTAAAGCATCCTGCCTATAATCTCTTCAAGCAAATTCTTCATTTTTATTGCTGTCACCCCTACGTGCTCATATCATGCTCTGTGTCTCAGTTCACCACTCTGTTTCAGTCACGAAAGTTAACAGAAACTGTTTACAAAAAGGTGATTTTCTAATCCAGTTCATTCCAGGCATCTGATTTACAGCAGAGCTTTACAGAGAGTAAATTCCATTAATTATATTGAGTTGTTTTTTTTTTAAGCAGTGATCCGTACTCATACCTGCATGACTGGAGGTCGGAGGGGCTGGGGAGGGAACTGATTATCATGCACAGCATAAAAGTCCCCTGAGTGGATATGATATGCTGGCTTCTTGCATGTGTAAAAAATGGAAATGAAGCATTGTCAGGTTTTCTCCTTCATCCTGCAGCCTTGCTGATGCACAGCCTGTACTGCAAATGAAGATGCAGGCCACACAATGTGAAGTACTCCCACTGTGCCTTTGAAAATAACTTATTCATCCTAAATTAGACAACTCCTTCAGTGTGTTATTGAACTTCATAAATCCCCTATTCACTACTAGCATTTCATCATGACACACAGTAATCAAAAACTGACACAGCTGGAAGGGCTGTCTGAACTGCCTAACACCTTGGATGTGTGCTCATGGAG